TATAAATATTCCTATATACCAGAAATAAACTCAAATAGTACACATTAAATCAATATTATTTTAGCAATCAGTTAAATCTAAAAGTTCAGTTTTTAGGAATGATAAATGATAATACTATCGTCTCTAAGGAACGATAAATGCATCGTATCTTAGGAATGATAAATACATCATACCTTAGAAATGATAATACCATCGTCCCTAAGGAATAATAATACTATTGTCTCTAAGAAACGATAAAACCATCCCTAAGGAACGATAAATGCATCGTACCTTAAAAACGATAAAACCATCTCTAAGAAACGATAAATACATTGTATTTAAGAAACGATAATACTATTGTTCCTAAGAAACGATAATACTATTGTCCCTAAGGAATGATAAAACTATTCCTAAGAAACAATAATACCATCGTCCCTAAGGAATGATAATACCATCATCTTTAAGGAACGATAAAACCATCGTGTCTTAGAAACGATAAACAATCATTCCTTAAGAACGATAAAACTATTATTCCTTAGGTACGATAAAACTATCATTCTTTAGATACGATAATACCATTGTCTCTAAAGAATGATAATACCATCGTCCTAAGGAACGATAATACCATTATTCCTAAGAAACGATAAAACCATCATCCCTAAGGAACGATAATACCATTGTTTCTAAGGAACGATAATACCATTGTTCCTAAGGAACGATAATACCATCGTCTCTAAGAAACGATAATACCATTATCTCTAAAGAATGATAATACCATTGTTCCTAAGGAACGATAAAACCATCTCTAAGGAACGATAATACTATCATCCCTAAGGAACGATAATACCATCATCCCTAAGGAATGATAAAACTATTGTGTCTTAGGAATGATAAAACAATCATTTTTTAGGAATGATAAAACTATCATTTCTTAGGTACGATAATACCATTATTTTTAAGGAACGATAATACCATTATCTCTAAGGAATGATAAAACCATCGTCCCTAAAGAACGATAAAGGCATAATACCTTAGGAATGATAATACTATCATCTTTAAAGAACGATAATACCATCGTTCTTTAGGTATGATTATACCTATTGTACCTAAGGAACAGTGCAATCGTTCCAATTGGGCGTCAATCAGTTATAAATAAGATAGGTCAAATTTTGATATATACCAATCGGCTATAAGTATACCAATCGGTTATAAATAAGATAGGTCAAATTTTGACTGATTCTTGACCGATTTCTGATGTATGCCAATTGGCTAGGCTGATTTTTGATAATTTGCCGATTTTAGACTGATTTTAGGCCAATTTTCGCATGTCTGATTTTTTTTATTTTGACCAGTGCTATGTAGTATAAAATCGCTTATATCATACTTTAATACATTATGTATTATACATAACTCGATTTGCAAAAAAAAACCTTAGATTAGATTAGAAATAAATAAACTTTATCATGATAAATGAATGTTTTCAAATCCATCTGTAATATCTATCTACTAACTAAAAATGCAAAATTTATGAATAAAAAAAAAATAAAATTATATCTTAGATAATATAAATTAAAATAGTTACTTATTTAAACAATAGAACTTTTATTAGAATCAGGAAATTTTTGTTAAATTTATGTATCTTTTCATTAATATTTAATATTGAGCTAATTATTTACATTACTAAAATTGAAAAAGTAGTTTCTATATAGTATATAAACTGATTTTAGGCTGTATTTTTCAGTATTATAGTATAGCTACGAATCAGGTATTAGTTAGCAATATTTTTTTCCTTAATGATAATATTGCTCACAACTGTATGATGCTGAAACTAGCAGACTGATCGTATATGATATATCTGCCAAATATGCCATATCTGCCAAATAGGACATACATACTATTTATTATATTTCTATTATTTATATCATTATTATTATTTATATCATAATTAGCATATCTGTTAACTCTGTTATTATTGTCAGTAGTATCATAAATATCATAGATTTTCTTTAATTGTAATTTTCTTATATAAAGGGCATAAAAATGCCTTAGAAAAAGGACAGATTCCAATAAGTTCTCAACATTGTATTCAATATATATTCAATAACAATAATAAATACCTTTAACATTTTGCAAATATAAAACTTATAATTTTATTCTTGTTAACTAAATAAACTCTCTAATAAACAGCGTGTCAAGTTGATTAGATTTAAGTTATAGCTATTGCCTTTCCGACTTCAAATCATAGTTAACTTATTCGATGAAAAGAGTAATGTTAACAATGCCTTATAGAAGAAAAATATTAAAAACTTTAGAAATATTATCTATACTTAAAATACTTAAATAAAGATATCTTTTTATATACTTTTTAATGCTTCTGATTTTATTTTATAGTTTATTATAATATGATTATTATTATTTAATAGTTAAAAGAATATATCATCAATTCAGAAGATCCTAAAATAGAGAGATTGAATTGTTAGATCCTTTCAAATTATAATTCAAAATTTTTTTTTACCTTTTAAAAAGCATTATTCTATAATACCTCTTTAACTTTATACATGAAAAATTAAATAAAATTATTTTATTATATATTACTTACTTCTTTTTTATGCATCTTATATTTAAACTTACTTAAAAATTTGAATTGATCGATGTATTCACTAAATGGCTATTGAAAAAATTGATAACATTAACTTAGAACTAAAAAATGAAAATTTTATTTTATTTGATTATAATTTTCTTAATATTTATTTTAATTTTTTTAAATCAAATTTGATTAATATTATGATTCAGTTAAGATCTCATTAGTTAAATTTTAGTGTATTAGTGATTATGTCTTATTATTTTTCTTTTTTTATATTATTTTCTGAAAAATAATAATCTTAGTTGAGTTTGATTTTAAGAAATGCAAAGTCAATTTTCTATAGATTAATCTTAAATTAGTTATTATAAGATTTTCATAATTTCTTCTAATTTATATTTTATTTTATACTACTCTATAATAAATTATTAGATTTTATAAAATTTTAATTAGTAATATATGGGATGCGATCAATACAAAAGGGAAATCTACAAATTTTAAATAATTTTAATTATTAAGCTAATTTTGTTTATATAACTATAATCAACAGAGTAAACCAATAAAAAAATTTTTAACTAAAATGTGAATTTTCTTCTTTTCTACTGACTACTTTTCATATAGGCACTTTTTAATAATAAAAGAAATAAATTACTAAAAATTTTTTAATTTATAAGCTAAATATTATATTTTTAGTAAAATAAATCCAGATTTAATATTAACTCAAAAAAATTTTTAGTAGTTTCTTTCTTTTTATTGCAAAATACTTATAAAGTAAAATTAAAGATTTTTAGTTTACATAAAAATTTATAAAAGATTTCTGATTTTTTTATTTGATAACTGATTAATTATAATTTTTAAATATTAAAATGAAAAAAAAATTTAGAATATGAAAAATTTTTTTATTTTAAAGTATAAGCAACAATTTTTTTATATATTTTTGTAGTATTTTTATAAAATTATTTTATCTATTATTTTACAAATGAGTATTTTTTGGTATTTTATAAATAGAATATTTTGAATTATATTTTTAAAATTATAATTGAATAGTTATTAAATAAAAAATTTAAAGTGAATTTTATTAAAAATTTATAAACTTATATGAAATTTAAATCTTTAATTTTATTAAATTGATAATTTTTATTGTAAAGTAATGTATATAGAATTATTTTTATCTAATAAAAATTTTGTAATATTAGCATATTTAAAAAAACTTATTTTTTAATAAAATACTTCTTGCATTTATTTTTTTTTATTTATTTCTTTTAATATTATTTTCTAATATTATTAATTATTTACTTTATAGAAACTTTATTTTCTTACTATATAGTAACTGTATCCCTTAAACCATCCAGCAAGCAAATTTGCCTGCTAAAATTTATTTTGATTTGTATTTGTATAACCACCCATGATTTCCTTAATTAATACCTCCATCTTTCTAAATAATAATAAAAGTGTATCACCTTGCCTATTATAATATAATTTTCCTTTAATCTTTTTTTAGTGATAATCTAAAAATCTCCACTCCATTAAAAAGTATGTCTTCTGCAGTAGGACCAAGTGTGCTATCTTCAATTTCAACTTCGAATTCATTTCCTCTTGAAACAGAATAAAATTTTGATGAAGAGGAGGAATATATGTCACTTTTGACGTCCTGTCAACATTTTGTGGAATCAGATATTGAGGAGGATGAAGAAAAGGATACCAGAAACATTTATAAGGGTAGATGTAAACCAGTAAAAATTGTACAATTACTACCCACTCCTAATTTTAAATATTTTATTCATCCAAAACTATTACACCAGGTATTTATTAACTTGCCGCCAAATTATGAAGCCAATTTTTCCAAACCAATCAATCTTTTTCTACTTTTTTTTCTAAACTCCATATTAGAACAATAGTTGTTAATACAAATTTGTATGCATTAACAAAAGATGCTGGTGCTGTTGGTAGAAAGTGGCAAAATATAGACCATAAAGAGCTTATTATCTAGATAGCTCTAATTATCTATCAAAAACTCTTTAAATTGCCCTCACTTAATCAATATTAGAATAAAAATCCAAAGTTTCTCATCCATCATATTTCTAAACAAATGTCATTAAAGCGCTTTGAACAAATCAAAAGATATTTACACATTTCTCCTCCCATGACTACGATTAACAATTATTTTGAAAAACTGGAACCACTGTTTTCAAAAATTCATGATGTTTCAAAACAACTTTACACACCAAGTTCGAACATTTCAGTAAATAAAATAATGGTACGATTTTCTAGATGAAGCATTCATACTATTCAAATAAAAAATAAACCAACTCTGAAAGGTTTTAAAATTTTATCTTTATATTAATCCAGATACATATATACTTTTTTGCCTACATCACGTGTATCACTAAATAATATAACAAGAGTGAACGGTCTTAATCAAACTGGATGTCTTGTTCACTATCTTATTATATAACTTCCATATCAGCAATTTTCATATAACATTTACATGAACAATTATTTTTCCAATGTCCCAATTTTTCAGTATCTTCAACAAATAGGTATTGGTGCTTGTGGAACTGACCGAAAAATAGCTTCTGAATTTTCAAAAGAATTAAAGGTGAATAAAAATGTTAAACTCAATTGGGATGTTCGTTCTAGTATTGTAATAAATAAAGTGTTAGTTATTTTTTGGCAAGATAATAGACCGGTCACGATATTATCAATAATTCATAGTCTCATTGGTAAAGAATGAAAAGTGGAGCAAGAAAGACGTTGGCCAAGGGAGATGAGTACCAATGCAGCAAAGGTATGTCAAAGCGGAGTATCTTTTCAAATTTTTTTTTGTTTTTTTTTTATTTTTTTAATTTTTTACTAATTTGATTTTTTTTTCTTTCCTTTTTTCTTCCTTTTCTCCTTTATTTTTTTTTTCTTTATTTCCTTTTTTTTTCTCTTACTTTTTTTTATTCCTTTTTTCTCATTATTTTTTTTTCTTTTTTTTTTTTCTTTTTTTTTTCATTTTCCTTTTTCCTCTTTTTTTTTCATTCTTCATTTTCTCTTTTTTCTTTTTCGTTATCTCTCTCCCCTTTTTTTCTTTTTCGTTTTTCCTCTCCCTTTTTTTCGTTTTCTTCTCCTCTTTCTTTTTTATTTTTTTTCCCTTTTTTTTTGTTTTCCCTCTCCCTTTTTTTTCTATTTTTCTTTCTTCTTTTTTTTGTTTTTTTTCCCCTTTTTTTTCATTCTTTCTCTCCCCTTTTTTTATTTTCTCTTTCCCCTTTTCTTTCTTTTTCGTTTCAATTCTTCTCTTCTTTCTTTTTCATTCTCCTTCTCCCTTTTTTTATTCTCCTCCTTTTCTTTCTTTCTTTTTTATCCTTCCTCTTCTCTTTTTTTCTTTTTTGATTCCCTCTCTCTTTTTTTTTTCCTTCTCATTTAAGATGCATGCAGTATTCAGCTCTGAATCAAAAAAGAAATTATTAATTCCAAAGGTTATCGATGATATAACTATTATATAAATAGCATAGATATTGCTGACTAATTGAGGTCTTACTACAATACACAACAAATAGTACAAAGGAATTGAATGCCTCTTTTTTTGGTTGTTAGATACTGCAATTATCAATGCCTATTAAATCACTCGAACATTAGGATCAGTACAAGAGCATAAAGAATTCTGTCATAAACTTATTTGGGATCTTATTAAACTTGCAAATGATACAAAAGAAATTTATTTAAGAAATTGCTTAAAAAAAAATAAGAAAGGAACCAAAAAAAGAAACTAAACGGCCAAAGGTGACAAAAAATTTTGAGCTTTTAAATCAACAGTTTATGCCTGGAAACTATTTTGCTGAATAGAGTGAGTAACGAGAATTATGTCAATGATATACTTGGCTGACAAGCAAAAAAAATTTGGATTTGAATCGTAAAACACCAAATAGAAGTCAGCTTTAGTGTATAATGTGCAATGTACCTCTTTGTTGTAATATTAATCGTAATTATTTTGTCAGTTTTCATACAAAAAATAATGATAATGAATAAAATTTTATTTTATTAATTTTTAGACATTAAGAATTTATTTTATCAACATTTATCAGTTTATTGATGTAAATGTGCTAAAGTTAATCTTTAATAGTTTAATTAATTCATAACATAAAATTTTATTTTTGATAAGTACCCCTATTACATAGTAGCTTTTTTTTATTCATATATGAAGTAGTTAAAATAAATTTTTTGAGTGATTTGAAAAGTTCAGTCATTTAGGATACCTCATGGCTGAAGTATAGCAAATTTTGTATAACTCGAAATTTTGTCATTTGTTTGGATTACATGACGTATGCTATAACGTGATTTTATTATTATCATGTAACTTAACATTTCAGATGTATTCCGGTCAATTTTAATCTAAGATTTAATATAAAAAAATTATTTCTAAACCTAATTTTTTCTAATTATTTTAGCGGATAAATTTGTCTGCCAAAATGGACAGTTTAAGAGATAATGCCTATTAAGTTGCAATTAAAATACTACAAAGTAAGGTTGTAACTATATATTTATTATATAGTCACTTTGCAGCTACTATATTTTAAGAAAACTAAGTTTTTGTAAAGTACTATCTAATAATTATCTTTATTTATTTTTTATATTTCTTTTTTATATTTTATATTATGTAAATAGTATTTTTATTATTATATAATAATTGTATTTTATTGTTATTATTATATTTTATTTAAATAATTTTAAATTATATCTTAATAAATTAAATTTAATAATATTATAATTAAATATATTATGGTAATTATATATAATTATATAAAGACGTAATTCATAATTATAATAATTAATTAATATTTTTTAAAAAATATAATAATTACATAATTCATTACAGGATGGTAAATAATTATAAAATAATAATTAATTATAAAATAGTAATTAATTAGCAAATTTTAAAGCTCTAAATAGATCAATTTAAGTTAGATTAATTAAATTACCTAAACTGAGAAAATCAAATTAGACTAAACAAAAATCTGATTTGATTTAATCTGATTAAATTATTTAAAAAAAAATAATATATTATATTTGATCTGATTTAAAACTTTAATTTATTTTATTATTTTTCTTTTGCATTTTCTTATAAAAATATTTATATAAAATAATATAAAAATTTTATTTGATAATTAATTACAGTTATATAATTAATATCATTGAAAATCAATTTTCCAATTTTTTTTTAAACTATTATATTTTTTTTTCTTTTATTTATTTAACATAATCTTCAAAAAAAAATCTTATTTTTAAACTTAAATATTTAATCTTATAAGAATTCTTATTAAATATAATTTTTTTTATTTTTGTAGATTTAATTTTATATATATTTAATTTTTTTTTTTTATAAATATTAATATAGAGATTTTATAATAAAAATGAATACTTTGATCAAAGTTTAATCACCTTTAATCTCTAAGTAAAAGTTGTTCAGCAGATTCAATACTATTATATCTAATTTTTATTAAATTAATTTAATATTTGTGTAATAATATTTATTTTTATAACTTTATTAATACTAGTATTGGCAAATTACAATGTTATTTGCCTATTTTTTAAATGACATTTGTTATTTCTTATAATAAAATCAATGTCATTTAATATCATTTTAATGTCATTTTAATATTATTTAATAAAACTAATTAATACTGTAGCATTTTATTATCTTTCTTGAAATTTTGATTTTTAAAATAAAAAGTCTTAAATTATTGATATTTTGTGCATTGTAATGTAGTTTTCAGTTAATTACATTTCTAGTAAAGCTCTAAACAGTTCAGTTCAGTTCTAATTAAATGCTAATCCATATCTGAATCAAAAATTTCAGTTCAGTTCAGTTCAGATTATTAATTTTAAAAATGCCAATCTGAATCTGAACTGAATTGCAGATCGGTAAAAATTTGAATTGAACTGAAATTTTTAGATTAATCTGAAATTACAGTTCAATTATTTAAAGAATCTGCAATTTATATGCGAAATTCTAGAAGAATCGTAAAAAATAGCAAATTTCTTTTCAAGGTTCGCAAAAATTTATAAAATTTGATGAGTAATCACAAAAATCTGTGATTCTCTAAGATTTTCACATTTTTTTGCAAATTCGAAGAGAAATCACAATTTTTTGCAATTCTTCAAGAATTTCGCAATATTTTTTGTGAAATACTAGAGAAATCACAAAAATTGCGATTCTTTAAGGGTTTTGCGATTTTTTTGCAAAATTCGTAATTTTTGCGAAACTCTAAGTATTTCGTGATATTTTTGCAAAATTCTAAAAGAAATCACAAAAAATTGCGATTCTTCAAGGTTTTCGCAATTTTTTTGCAAAATTCAAAGAGAACCCGCAATAAATTACGATTTTAAAAGTTTCGCATATAATTTAATTGAACTTTTAGATTAATTCAAAATTATCAGTTCAGTTTAGATTTTTTTTCAGTTCAAATTAGAATTATAATCTGAAAAAATCTGAACTGAACTGAAAATTTTCAGATCGATTTTTATGCAATTCAAAACTGATTTAATCTAAATTAATCCAAAAAATCTTTAAATTAATTTGAACCATTCGGAGCTTAAATCTCTAGTTATTAGATACAGTCAACTCTTGTTATAGCGAACTCTTGTTATAACGAATTTTTTGAACAAATATAATAAAAATACTCTTGTTATAGCGAATTGGCCAATCAAATCTCTTAAAATCTTCACTATAGCCTTATAGCGAAGTTGAGGTCTAGGACATAAAGTTCGTTATAACAAGAGTTGACTGTAATAATAATAGAACATAATGATACACTCCTTTCAAAAAATATCTATTCTGATCATTTGAATTATACTGATTTTTTCAATATGAAAAATCTTTGAAATCTTATTTTATCTTTACAAAGAAACTGGAAAGAGTATTAAATGATCTATTTAAAAATGTTTCAATGAGAATATATAATCAATGCAATCTTTCAAAGTAAGTCATTTTAAAAATCTCTTTTAAAA